GATTTAAATGTCACACCTGAACGCTCACATCCTTTTAATTATGTTTGAAATTATGAACATTGCTCAACATCATGAAAATTAAACCTTATTTTCAATAAGCAATCCTGAAAAATATTTGGGGGTGCTTAACTTTTTTCCAGGTGTATAGTTGTAAACTGTCTCTAAAAGAGGTGTAAAGTGTGTAATTCTGTTATAGTCTGCCTATACAGGGGCTTTAGCTGTCTTATCGAATGATTGTAAATTTAAAAAAAGTATTATAACCTGTCTATATAAGGGCTGTATTCACTTTCTAGAATCTAGAAGATAGCTAATTCTCACAACACATCTGTATCCATAGTTGTAGAATTGTTTTATTTTCATTGTTTAAATTCAACAATTCCTTTTTTACCTGATCTTCATATTAAAATAACCAGAGTTATGGTGATTTTAGTCAAATGTAATGAGAAACTGTTTTTGAAAGAACTAGAATAATGATTTAAGTTATTTATGCAGTGTGTTCTTCTAATTTTTATTTTCTCTTTCACAGAAACTTCTGGATTATGTATAGAATTGTTAATGAGATTGCACTATACAACATTAATTCATAAGTAATATTTTGGTTTATTACAATTTGCATTAACTCTGTATACACAGATGGGGGTCAGAGTTATGTTTTTTACAGAGTTACATTCAGAACTTAATAAATCAACTTTATTACCAATACTGTGAATAAACTTGGCATCAAAATGTAGGTTACAATACAAATTTTAATATTATATAACTTTTAATTTCTTAATCTACAAAGGAATTATATAAATAAACTCTCATTCTTCACTTCTTTGTGTCATGTGATACCTCTCTGCTCTGAATTATATATCTTAGATTTTCTTTCTTCCCTTATATTGGTGTCAGAATGTCCACCAATTAGATACACCATCTACAAACATTGACAGGCCAGAATCAAAAGAACTTACCATCTTTTTTATTTTCTGAGATATCAATAAGTTTGTTACACCCACCATAGAAGCTCCTCCCTGCTTTTGAAATTACTTATTTATTCATGCTTACTTGTCATGTTTATAACAAATATAAAAACCATTTGTGAACTACTTTAATATGATGTCTTTATGTTAATTTATTTTATTAAAAGGTACCAATTCTCAAGCAGTTTTTATTGAATGAAGACTGAAGATGGTACTCCAGCAAGTGAGAAAAATAGTCTGTTAGAAAGCCAGATATATTATAGTAGTCTTGAGGCATTTTGTTTTAGTGTTGGAATTGTTTGAAAGCTGAATTAATTCTTTTTTAGACAACTAACTTAGTGAGAAAAACTTAGGGTTAATAAAGACCAGCTTTCAAAAGCAAAATGACTCAGTCCTGAAATAAGTGCTAAATTTATCATTTTTATGTGTATTTTTTACTTATTGGTATATACTTTTTAACAAAAGTAACTGAAATGTAAAAATTTAAAACTCATTAAATTAAAGAACATAAGTGATAATTTGGCCTCAAGGAATGGACAAAGAACATAGGTAGTTAGGCATTGTGTGATATAACCTGAATTTTTGTGGAATATAAACTCTTCTTACTCTCCCTTGGTGATTTATTGCTACTTGCAGTAGTTGGACACAGTTGAAAGAGCAATAAAACAATAAAATTAAATGAAAAAAGTTGTAAAGTATTATGAGCCTGAGGCTGTTTAGGAAAAATAAGTAGTTTTCTGTTACAATCTACAGTCATTTATAGAAATGAAAATGGGAAATTTAGATTTATTTAATTTTTTGTTTGGTAGAGAAAATAAAAATATAAAGTTTTACTGAACAAAAACATTTTCATATTCATTTAGGAGACTAAAAGTGGTGCAAATAAAATTTAAAAACTGTAAGACTAATCACAGTTTGAGTTAAACTAAGTAAAGTAAATTCAAAGACAAATCTTTAACAGAAATACTTTATGGAAAAGTCTGAATTTTTGTGTACTTGTAATGTTAACTAAAAGATTACCATATTTCAGGGAGATACATACATTAAGGAAATTTAGAATTTATAGTATACATTAATTCTTCATTACAGGTTTGGTTGGATTAACCTCATACACGTAGGATTAACTGTTACCAAATGAGTAATTTCTTGAGTTCCAAAATATATTATAACATCTGTTTTTCATATTTTCATTGTCATAGAAATGAACCTTTTGAATTTGGATGTACTTCCTTGGCTGTACCACCTGAACTGCTCAAGGTTTGTTGACTAAATTGTTTCATCATGCCATTCATATTTGAAAGCAGTTTAACTCATTATGTTAAAAACTTTATTTCCTCATGCTATTCATATTTGAATGCAGTTTAAGTCAGCAAGGTGAAATCTTTAACAGTATATTATTTTCTTATATCATTCATACTTGGAAGCTGGATGTACAGTGTATTTTGAAACTTTTTTTACCTTAAAAATATGTGTATAAACAAGGTCTCCAGCACCTTATTGTTACGCTTGAACATGTACTGTTTTTCAGTATATGTAAGTTAAATTTGGTATTCTCATATTAGCTGGACAGGTGAAAACTGATATTACTGAAAACAAAATTGCTCACAAAAATTATTGAGAGATTACAAACTCTTAAACATGATAATATTTTTCCTAAAAATTTTAAAATGAGACAATAATAAAAGATGTTAGACATTGAAGATATATATTAGTTAGTTAAATATTGCTATTGTCCTCCATATTTTCAAAATTAATGTGTTGATGAAAGAGCCTGGGATATTAAAAACTGCTGCTAAAGCAACACCCCAAGAATTCAGTTCGTTTTCCATTTTGAACAAGGTGACTTCTTTGTAGCACATTTTGTCATGGAAATGGAAAGTATACACCAACTGTTCTTTTAGATGTCTTGATTATACAAACAAATGCAAGCATGGACACCAAACTTTACAGTTTCTTATACATCACCCAGTGTCAGCAGTACATTTATGGACTTACAATACTAAAATATGAGTTTTGATTCGGTATACATAGTGCAGGAAGCCAATTTTTTAGCTGCCTAAGTTAATCTATGAGACCTTTTTTTTTTCTTTTTTATTAACTATATTTTGTGTGCGCCAATACCAAGCGTGGGGTGCACGTATACCTGATTCAGTTTTATTACTCATTAGGATCTTTACCAGCCTACCCTCAAATTTAAATTATTTCAGGCAGGATTAGATTAAATTAATGTATGAGATCTTGGGTTTGGTCAAATACATCAATCAAAAAGGTTTGACCTCCTGAGTCTAAAACTGTAATTTGATCTTAAATCGATAGATGATGAAGCTATGAGCTTAAAGTTTGTACTTGAAAAACTTAGAACATTCTATGAGCCACTGTACCACAGTTAAAAAAAGCAGACACTTTTATGATAGTTTTTGCATTATCACATGCTTGTGTGGGCTGGAATACATTATAGAGAGAGAGAGAGATAAAAAAAAACATTTCATAACAGAAAAATAGAATATCAAAATGCATTAAGATTGTGCACTATGGAATTTTTTGTATGTTTCATTAGTCATCACATCATTTGAGAAGATACTCATACATTTGGGCAACATAGTTACCACCAAAAGAAGGATATCGTGGAATCAGTTTAGATAGAGACTTATGGAGGTGTCCCTTAAGTTGGATTGAACTTAAGTGAAAAATATCAACTTTGTAGATTAGAAATTAATTATGGATGTTTTTCTGATTGTACAAATATTAATAGTGAGGTTCTTCAGTTGCCTCTTCTTTTGGACATTTCTTGTTTGTTATTATGCAGAGTACATTAAAAGGAAGTAGTGTAAACTAGTGGTGGAAAGTTTACTGGTGAGAGGTTTGACCACGGCATTTTGTTGTGTCCTTGAGCAAGACAATTTAACCCAATTGCTTCAGTTATGTAATGGGTTCCAGCAGGTAGCTGGGAGTTATCCCATCCACAAAAAAATTGTGCCACAGGAAACCAGAGTTAAACATTAGCCTTTTGTGTTTTTCGAGTGTGAAATGGATTAACTTGCTTATATTATATTAACAGCAACATGGGTTTTAAAGTAACAAAATTTTCAGGTTATTCTAGCTTTTTTGAAAATTATTTACTAAGTATAATTGAATGGAAAATGTGTTTCAATATTAAGGAATATAAAATCATATTCTTGGGACAGAGGAATTGATAATAATGTTCTTGTAAAGAAAATAAAAGATATATGGTTATAATTTTTGAAAGTGTCAGGCTGACTTGATTCACAGTTGTCTATGGACAGAAATTTTTGTTTAATAGTAGAAAGGTTAAAATTATTCATGTTTTGTTTAAGAATAGTTAAACCTCATTCAGAGAAGTCTTTTCAATTTTGTTTTCCTTCTTATAAGAACGGTATAAATTTCTTATAAAGGGTAGAGAAAAGAGCTACCAGAGTGAATCTTTATTGATAACGATAGAGGTATGAGAGAAAATCTTTTTCACTGGAGTGTTAAAAACAGCCAGAAGATGATACGAGTTAAGTTTTTAAATTTTCTCAAGAAGTTTGGATAGTTTACCTGTTGAAATGTTTTCCTGGGAATGGTGAAACAAGTGTAGACTTTGGGAACTTATCTCAGACATTCTTCCTTTGGTGGCATTATGTTTCAGTTAGAACTATACAATGTTCAAAACAATTAAGTAATAGTTTCCCGTATTCTAGCTGTGTAACAAGGCATAACTCTGTTGTTAAATAATGTCAATAAAACTGTCAGTTAACTTTATGCAAAACAAATGTTATGTGACGTGATATGCAAATATCTGTTGTTGGAGTCTATATCCACAAATGCTCATTTGGGGCTATAAACTTTGCAGATTAGTAAATTATCATAACACATTTGTTAACGCTCTCACTAGGAGATCAGTCAAATTGACGGACCTCATAACCACTTTTTTCTCATTATAGTTTCCATACTATAACTTTTAATACACTTTGTGTATTTTCATAAAATTTGGCAGACTTTCAGTAAACATTACAAGTCTTTTGTATGCAAAAAAATTAGATTTTTTAATGAAATATTTTTTACTAAAGATCTGTCTGTGAATGTATATATATTATTTCTATATACTATTCCAACTGCTAGGTGATTTCCACATTAAAGTTAAAAATACTTTTCTTTGTCTCAAACATCTCAAATTTTATTTGTATAATCTCTAAAACCTCCTAAATAAATTTCATACTTTTTCTTTGTTGTTGTTTTTTTAAGTAAAACTTTATATTTTATCTGTTATTTTGGTCAATTTGATTGACCTCGTAACTACTAAAAGAAAATCGAAATAAATCCAAATTACCTTTTTTTCTTCCTAGAATGAATCTAAATTTGTTTATCCTAAATATAGCCCCCAGTGGCACAGCGGTATGTCTGCGAACTTACAATGCTAGAATCTGGGTTTCAATACCCACGGTGGGCAGAGCACAGATAGCCCATTGTGTAGCTTTGTGCTTAATTACAAACAAACATTATCCTAAATAGCTTTAAACTCATAACAGTATACATCTATGTATACTTAAATTTTATTGTTTTATTGCTCTTTGAACCCTGTCTAATTACTATTTATGTCATTATATTTAAATCACTTGGTGAACATGCAGCTTAATAACTAAAGAATACGCACGAAAAACTAGCACTTAACCCTACTTTTTTATAGTAATGGTAGTACTGCACTAAATATTTGTTTACTTAATTAAATAATGAAGCAAAGAACACAGACTAATAATGTGCAAAAAGTAGCAAATATCCCACAACTATCACAATTTTGGTGGCTTTCTATGTGACAAGAGGCATTAGGAATTCAGCTAAACTCATCTATGTGTTCCCCGTGGGAATAAAGTTTGACCTGGAAGAGAAACTGACAATTCTCTGTACAGAAAACAAGATCATATAATACGTCAGTTGACAGATGTAAACCTTGGCTTTCTATTAGTTATAAATACTATTGAACATCAGGGATAACTATTGGCAATTTCTGAAAGAAAGGATGTGACAGATGGGTGTGACAAGAGGGGGTCTGGTTGTCTATTTCATGGCTCTGTAACCAAATAGGATTGAAGGCTATGAAAATTATGCTTTGCCTGAGGAATGAAAATAATTTAGGGTAAATTTTGTACTTCGTGCAGGAGTGGTAAATAAATTAGAGAAGAGGAGATGCCTAGAGAGCAAATGTCACAATTCTCACACTAGGAGAAATTCTATATTTTTTTAAATATTGCCTTGTAAAAGTAATAATTTAAAATATATACACAATTAAAATATGGATTATTAACTACATTTTTATGCTATATTTATTGGTATACCATGAAAAGAAAATAGTTTAATTAAGTCTTGAATGTAACTCACTAAAACCTCATGGATGCAGAGAAAGTTGTGCATGGAGAGAGGGTTAAATAGTTGCATGACTACAAGGGATGCTAATGTAATTCACATGTCAGTGTGGCTTGTTAAAATGAGTGAGTTACTGGGATAACATATTCCACATCTCCTTCAGAACTATTACCAGTTTTTCAACACTACTTAGAGGTTAACCATGTTCTGCCAAGCATTTTTTAGAGCATCTGATACCTGTTCATTTGAATTCAAGTCTGTCTGATGAACATACTGACCAGTCCATTCCCTCAATACCTTCTTTTTTCAAGAAAATGCTATCCACTTGAGCACAGAGGGGACATGCATTATTATCCATTAGAAGAAAGTTCTGACCATTTGACCTTTTGTATGGCAACACTTTTACTGATCCCTGCTTAGACCAGTATGCCTTCATAACTGTATGCATCTTTCCTCTATGAACTTGGAGTTGAATCTAGTCCTAGCCAAACTCATATTATCTGGTTGAAATTTAAAACATGATTCATATGTGAAAAAGACATTTGCCCACATATTATTTGATTAATTAACCTGATCTTGACATCACTGAAGAAGAACTGTTGATGAATTAGAGGAATGCACACTGTTTATTGTCTGGCATAAAGGCCCATCTTATGAAGCAAGTTTCTCACCATTTACTTTCTAACTTGTCAATCCATTATCTGCTCTCAACTATTGATTCAGTTGGAAAACTAGGCCTGCCAATTGCATCAAGTCTGTATTGTCATATAGTGGTTGTCTCATAGGCTGTCAACAATGATCTGTATTGTTCACGCTTACAACTAAGTATATTAGTGGTCTGAAAGTGGGTCCACATCCTGCTTACCACACTTTGTCAGACTTATGGCCACTCTTCAATAGTTTGTTGTTTTGACCAGTTTTTAGCAGACCTACTGTTTTCTGCAGAATGGAAATGTTCAACTGTCTTTGTTTTAGTCCTAGCATATTTCATGATCAGTCTTGGTCTCTTTAGACATGCTGGTGTTATTGAAAATGCTAACTAAAAACAGCATGTTTCCTTTACTTTTATATACCATTGATTTGTGAATATCAGATCACATTATGTTTTTTTGCATAAAAATGAAATCAAGGTTGTTACACATTTCTGGGGCTTTATCCTAGCTACAATATTCAATACACCTAATATCCTATAATGGTTTTAATCAGAGTATTTGTAGAAAAGTCTACCGATGATGTAATATGGTGTTATGTTTTAAATGTAATATTAGATAGAAATGTACTCAATTCTTGCAACTTGTATATATCAGCTGAATAAACTAAAGATACTAAGAATTATGTGTGAAATTAAAACATTTGGTAAACTGAAATGAATTTTGTTTGGGGATTGTAAAATAATTCATCATTCATTTATGTTTTTTTTTCGTCGTCTCTTATAGCTTTTGTGGAAGGACATCACAATATCACCAAATGGAGTAGTCTTTGTAAAGTCCTCTGTTCGGCAAGGTGTTTTGCCACAGTAAGTTCCACGTACTTTAGAACATTTCTAAGGAAGAATGTACATGACTAAAGCATAGTTAGAATGTACTGTTTTTTTATTATATGATTCAAATAGATATTTGAAGTTGCTGTATAAAGCACTTTTTATACACGTGCAGTTGGGGGTTCAAGATGAAGCTTATTTCTGAAAAAGAATAACTTAATTGTTTTATTTTCTGTTTTTTTGTTGTTATTTTTTTTTCAAAATTATTGATCAATCAGTGTATTATGTCTTAAGATGCATTAAAATAATGTTACAAATGTCATGACAATCAAGAAAAAACTTAATAGTATAGCAGTTTGAAATGTCTGATTATTGTATAAAACATCATTTTTACAAGACTTGCTTACACCTGGTTTGTGACTATAATGTTGTATACATCACTATTAAGTTTGCCAATTTCTTGATTAATTCATCCAAGGAAGTTCTGAACATAAATAGGTACAACAGCTAATGTTGTTTTATGTGGAATTGGAATTTATTACTACTCTGACTGCTAACACTACTACAACAGAAGCAAATGTGACAGCTCTACATTGTTTTACATGGAATCAAAATTACTTACTACTATGACTGCTAGTGATATAGAAACAGGTGTGACAACTTCATGTTGTTTTGTGTGGAATTGGAATTAATCACCACTCTGACTGTTAATACGATAGAAACAGGTGAGACAGTTCCAAATAATAATTAATTTCTTCTATTGCTGCTAATGCTGTCAAAGCAGGTGTGACAGCTTCGCATTGTTTTATATGGTATCAGAATTAATTACTGCTCTAACAACTAATGCTACAGAAGCAAGTGTAACAGCTCCACATTGTTTTACATGGTATAAGGATTAATTACTACTTTGACTACTACCACTACAGAAGCAGGTGTAACAGCTCCACATTGTTTTACATGATATCAGAATTAATTACTAATTTGACTACTACCACTACAGAGGCAAGTGTAACAGCTTCACATTGTTTTTACGTGGTATAAGGATTAAGTACTGCTCTAACTACTAATGCTACAGAAGCAAGTGTAACAGCTCCATGTTGTTTTACATGATATCAGAATTAATTAGTACTCTGATTACTAATGCTACAGAAGCAAATGTAACAGCTCCACATTGTTTTACGTGGTATAAGGATTAATTACTACTTTGACTACTACCACTACAGAAGCAAGTGTAACAGCTCAATGTTGTTTTACATGGTATAAGGATTAATTACTACTTTGACTACTAATGCTACAGAAGCAAGTGTAACAGCTCAATGTTGTTTTACATGGTATAAGGATTAATTACTACTTTGACTACCAATGCTACAGAAGCAAGTGTAACAGCTCAATGTTGTTTTATGTGGTATCAGGATTAATTACTACTCTGATTACTAATGCTACAGAAGCAAGTGTAACAGCTCCATGTTGTTTTATGTAGTATCAGGATTAATTACTACTCTGACTACTAATGCTACAGAAGCAAATGTAACAACTCCACATTGTTTTTACGTGGTATAAGGATTAATTACTGCTCTAACTACTAATGCTACAGAAGCAAGTGTAACAGCTCAATGTTGTTTTATGTGGTATCAGGATTAATTACTACTCTGACTATTAATGCTACAGAAGCAAGTGTAGGAGCTTCGCATTGTTTTACATGGTATCAAGATTAATTACTACTGTAACATGGGTGCTACATAAGCTAGTCATTTGGAGTTCAGCTTTAAATCCAGCTATATAGTTGGAAGAGGAGTACACAAGTCACCAACTCGAGTAAGCTTACAGTTAGAATAAAGAATTAACTCAGAGACTGATATCAAAAATCCCATCAAATCTTTATTACAATGTATTCAAATATTCGTCTACATTAACATCAACATAAGTATCTTGGTAAGTTTGCACATCAAAAGAATCAAATGTGTTGTTCTGAGCAATCAAACTTTCATGAATTAAACCCTCTACAATATTCAATAGGTTACTTATTATAATCAGCAAATTATCAATTAAAACATTATGTCAAATGTACCCAAACATGTTTTACTTTATGAGTTCTCCTTAACACTATATATTTTACATCAATTTCCTAACTACGCTATTCGACTGAAAGAAATAGCAATTGTTACTTACATCAAGGTTGAACAGTGGGTATTCTCTATTTGTTGGAGGACAAATATCTTCAAGGATGTTCTTGGCATAAGAGCAGTTAGATCAGGTAACATCAGGAACAGGCAGTGAACTTTCTGGCAAGCAGGACTAATGGCTGCTTATTCAGCATCAGAGAACTGAAGTTTAACCCCAAAACAATTTCTCTATATTCGTACGATTCTCCAAATAGTGTATAGATCCAACTCGCAAGTAGATTTGTCAAGTAATTGATGAATATTTTGACTCATCATATGTCTCGGAACTAGAACTAAAACTAATTCAGTAATTGGTTATGATCGAAGATGATAAATTGACAGCCTGTTTGCATGTATTTCTCCTTGTCTTCCTTCCGATCAAAGTTCTTTCCAGAGTCTCTGATTTCCTGTCAAATTCTTTTTATAGAATTCATTTCCTGCCTTTAATGAAGTTAACATAAACTTGATCGTAGCTTTCTCTCTGCTACAGTTGCATCTGTTTATGTAGATAAGATAAACAGTTGGTTCTCCATAACTCCTGGCATGCATCTTAGTTTTTGTGTGACATATACATTTCCTTTTTTGGTCATATGTCATTATGTAACTCCTTATACATTCACCAAGTTTTCACCACTTTTCTTCATATTTCATATATGTGTGCCAAACATGGAATCTTAAATATATATATATATATATATTTCCGTTCTTGGTCATATGTCATTATGTAACTCCTTATACATTCACCAAGTTTTCACCACTTTTCTTCATATTTCATATATGTGTGCCAAACATGGAATCTTAAATATATATATATATATATATATATATTTCACTTCTTGAAGCATTTGAAAATAGCATAAAATGCCTTAGAATACTGCAAATGCTTCACTGCTTGACTTTACTACTAATGGTACAGAAGCAAGTGCAACAACTCCATGTTGATTTATGTGGTATCAGGATTAATTACTACTATGACTACTAATGCTTTTAAAATTTGTAGTTAAATAAAATATTCAAATTATTAAACTAAACATGTAAGTAATGAGTTGTAAAAGTGAAAGAAAATTCGTTCTTGTGTTCTAAATAAATTTCTAAATTCGTCAGGTTTCAACTTTTCATGACTCTTTTCTGTGGCACTTTCATTCTAAATTATCTTATGCTATTATGAGAGCATGGAAAGCAGTCTGAAAGAAATTGAACATTATCCTTGCTATCCACTTCAATTTTCACCTTGGTAAAGAATATAAACAATGTACACAACATAAGCCCAAATCAACCTTTAAACCTATAGTGCATGAAATTGTGTCAGTACAATCAATAAACTAGTAAATTTCTTACAGTTTTGTGTTTAATTAGATATGATATTATAGTTTTTGAGTTTGGTCAAATGTAAAGCTGTAGAATATATGTGAAGTGTATTTATGTTAATTATTTATTTCACAAAACAAAATGGTATTTTTGTTTGGTGTTTTGCAAGTAATGAAAAAGGACAATGTAGCATCAACAGTTTTAATTAATTGATTGTGGTCAATTTTCGTTAATTTGTCTAGGATGCTCAATGACATCTTAAACACAAGAATTATGGTTAAAAATGCTATGAAAGATTACAAAAACAACAAGGTAAGAAATTTTATTTCTTTTCTGACTATTTATATGTACAAAAAATATAGAAAACCACTATTAGGTCTTCAAGAAATTAACGTTGCTTATTTTTAGATGAAAAAACCCAAACAGCTTATATATCAAAACAAAACATTTATTAAATGAAATAGTGTCCATTCTTATCGATGAAGTTTTTTCATCTCACACTTAGGTTGTTGATGCTCTGATTAAAGAAATCACTTGGCTTTGAAGCAAAAAACATGTCGATGTCCTCTTTAACACCTTCCACATTTGCATTAAGATGATGTTGTAGTGAATGAAAAAGATGATAATCTGATGGTGCCATATCTAGAGAATATGGTGGATGGGAAAAAACTTCCCAACCCAACTTCATAATCTTGTGTTGTGTCAAACATTCCACATGTGGATGTGCATTGTCATGGAGAAGAATAACACCTTTTCGATTGAGGAGTGAAAGGCATTTCTGATGAAGGGCTTGATTTAAACATTCCATTTGCTGACTATACATCTCTACATTGACAGTTCGCTGTGAATTGAGGAGTTCGAAATTAATTACTAATTTGATGTCCCACCAAATGCAAAGCATCACTTTCTGCAGATGAAGTCCAGGTTTGGGGGTTGGAAGTGGTTTTTGTTTAGGACTGAGCCATTGTTTTTGGCATTTAATATTTGCATAGAGAATCCATTTTCATCACCAGTGACAATTCTGTCGAAAAATGGTTCACGAGCATTACGCACCAGAAGAGGTGAAGTAACGTTCACACGTTGGAAACAATGATCATGATAGAGTTTGTGAGGCACCCAAGCACCTTCTTTATGGAGTTTTCACATATTCCTTAGATGTTTACGTATTGTTTCATGAGAGACATGCAATTTC